TTCAATGAAAAATTTTCTATCATATTTATCTTTATTCTTTTATTTATTTATTTATTTATTTATAGTATACAATCAACATATTAATTGCTAAACCTTTCATTTTCCTACCTTTTTAACTTAATTTTATTTATTTATTTGTAAATGAATTTGAATACACAAATACATAAAACTACATATATTTTATTTTAGGGAAAATTGCACCAAAATGGAACCAACTTTCACCTAATTCCTATTTTGGCGAACCAACTTTCAAAATCGTCATTGTTCGTCCTCTCTCTCAGTGATTTGATGATAATCTCTTTTCACTTATACGTTGTATTTATGTTTTTGTCTTTTCAGTTCTAGCGATCTTCACTGAGTATGTTCAGTGATCGCTGAAGAACTTGCATTGTAATTCTATCAAAGACAACAATACTTCAAGAAGACAACACTCACACCAAAGAACCTTCAGCAAACGTCAAAGACTGAAACTGAAGATTAGAGACTGACGAGTACGTGATCTGAAGCGGTATTCAGTGATTACAAGTCTGTCTACATATGTGTGAAGACTGCTCAAGCTTCAGCGAATGATGATGAGACCTTCAGATCATTCCAGCATTCAGCGATCAAATGAAGTTTGCTTAGCATGATTGTTGTTGTCTTGTCCTTATGCACACAAAGGACAAAACCCATACCCTTATGAAAGTTGGTACGGTAGGGAGCCGACTAGTCAACTCTACTGTCCACCAACTTTAGATAAGGATGTCTACTCATGAATAGTGCTTTTTGTACTATTCACTGTAGCAAATGACAAGTCTTCCTCTTAAGACTTGATACACACTCTAACCCTACCATATTGCATTAAGTGTCCATTTAATGCACTAGGTATAAATATAAGTGTTTCTTCTCCATGCAGAATGCGCGCAACTCACTCTCTAACCCTAATTCTTACTTCAAGGATTTTCTAGCTTAAGTAAAGGATCTTCTCTACATCATTTTTTTTCTTGTATTTGTTAAGATTTAGTGTGTTTCTAAAGATTGTTTAGATAAGTTTTTTCTACCTTATCTTTCCGCAAACAATCTTGTAAAATTTGTATTGATCTTCTTTATCAATATATATTTTAAATTTAAAAAATATTGTGTTTGTATTGATCCCCCCTCCTTTCTACAAACTGTTTCTCTTCTTGTAGATCCTCTCAGGACCAACAGTCATTTTGGGGAACCAACTTGCACCTGATTCCTATTTTGGAGAACCAACTTGTAGAATAATTATAATAAATAACTAAATTTCGTTTTTTTCCAAAAATTAATGCAATAAAATCTATTTTTCATTTTAAATCTCGTTTTTTTTTTTAATTTAGATATCAAATTGAACATTTTTTTAAAAAATCGAAATTACCACAATAAAAATTGTTTTTTACTAATGCAAAAACAAAATCAATTTAATAAAAAAAATAATTGATACGGATTGGTTAGATATACAAAATTTTGAATGTGATATTTAATATTTATTTTTTATTGCATCAATTAATTTTTTTCTATTAAATTGATATTTTTTGCATTAGTAATAAATAATTTTTATTGTGGTAAAAATGTTTAATTTGATATCTGAATTAAAAAAACGAGATTTGAAATGAAAAATAGATTTTATTGCATTAATTTTTGGAAAAAAAAACGAATTTTAGTTATTTTTCTATAATTATTTTGCAAATTGGTTCCCCAAAATAAGAATCAGGTGCAAGTTGGTTTCCTAATATGACGATTTTGAAATTTGGAAATAGGAATTATGTGAAAGTTGGTTTCATTTTGGTGCAATTTTCCCTTTATTTTATATCAAAAAATGTATATTTTTAATTATATGACAATTGAAAAAAAAATTCATCAAAATCAATCAACATATGTTAAAATACATTAAAATTTCTCAATCAATCAATATATCAATATATAATTAAAAAATATATTAAATTAAGAACCAAGAGGTGGTTCATTGAGAAGTTTCAATCATATTTATTATTATTTTCTTTATAAATGAAATTAGAATGTACATACGTTTAATTATATTTACATCAATGTATATAAATTTCTATGTACATGACAATTGAAAAAATAAATCATCAAAAATCAATCAATATATATCAAAATTTCTCAATATATCAAAATATATTTAAAATATATTAAGATAAGACCAAGAGGTGATTCAATAAAAATTTTCAATCATATTTATCTTTTTTTAAATGAAATTAGAATCCACAAATATATAAAATACATATATTTTTATTTATATTAATACATACATAGAGGAAGGTTCAAACAAGAACGCTAACTATTTAAGAAAACATAAAAAATATCGTTAATATACAAACTCACATGTGATATAACATTAAATTGAAGCGGATGACTTTTGAGGCCACTTAAGTCGCAGGGTAAAGTCGCCCGGATCATATATGATTTTTTACATTTTTAATAATGCAATTATATAATAAAAATTAAATGAAAAAGTTTAAAGGTCTTCACTAATTTCTTAAGGTGCAAAATGTGTTGACTCTCTCCATCTTGCATATAAAAGAAAACCATGATTGTTGACATCAATTGCAACCCTCGATGTTCATAATTCTTGACATACAAGACATTTACGCTTCTCTCTCCACTAAGTAATCATTTTGCTTTATATCTATACTATCTTATTAAGCAAATTTAGCAAAAGTCTTAAAGTCTTAAAATTCTAAATGACCATAATACCCTTTATACTCACTTTTTCACTTTTTCACCCCCTTCTCTCCTTACATACACTCACCCTCTCACATACACTCACCCTCTCACAAACCAATTTTTTTTAATTATAATTCTAAATTTACACTTTATACCCCTATAATTAATTAATTAATTAATTTACTTTACATCCTTTACTTTTAAATGTTTCATTTTAAATTTTTATCAAATTAACATACATAATCGTATATCAATTAAAACATGTTTAAAAAATATATTTTTATTTTAACAAGTTACACCATTATAATCGTCTCGTTAATACCTTCGAAATGAGTCCAATATTGAATAGTTTTTTACTTAATTATATTATTATACATC